GACCAGGCCCTCTGCACATCTCAAAGGGAGATTTGGTAAGCTCCTTGTCGAACAACGTCTCTGTCTCTTGTGGTGTTGGTCAAGTGAGGACCTTATCCATTATGTCCTCCGCTGCCCCAAGGACAATGAGATTAGGGCCAAATTACTGATGGTGGATGAACTCAAAGGCGCCGATCTCAAAAAAACCTGAAGTATCTTCTTGCAGATTTGTTTCCAACTGTCAGCAACCAAGTTGCTACTTTTGCTCTGCTGTCATTTAAACTTAGAAAGAAATACAGTAGAGTCTCGCTTATCCGACATAAACAGGCCAGCAGAACATCGGATAACTGAAAATGTCGGATAACACACAGTAATGATTGAGTGCAGTAAAAAAAAAAAAAAAAAACACCCGATCTGCTGTGCCTGTTGCAGTCGATTTTTGCGTTGCGGCGCCACCGTCAGGAGCAACAAGAAAGTACACTCACACTCGCAAACAAGCGGCACACTTTTCTTGTCGCTGATTTATGCGTGTTGTGTTTTTTTTAGGAGCGTTGGATAAGACGGAAGGTCGGATAAGTGAAGGTTGGTTAAACAAGGCTCTACTGTACTTAAGTTCTTAGCTGTAGCCTTGGCTTTGTTTTGCTGTAACCTTTTTAGATCTAATACTCCTTTTATTACTTTATTGTACAATAGCTTACTGCTATTTTATTGTATTTTATGGCACATTATAAATAATGACATACAGTTACAATAATAAATTTACTTACTCTACTGGAGGTCTGTTCCAGAAAACCGGCACTGCCACTGGTAAACAGTGCCTCCTTGCTTCAGATCCTTTAATTTCCTTAAAGTGGGACCCTACAAGAAGCTTTTCCCCTGCTGACCTAAGAGGTCGAAATGATTCTGGGTGGAGCAGGCAGTTCTGGAAGTATCGAGGTACCAAGCCATAATGGGCTCTACAGGTCAAAACCACCACTTTCAATTGCACCCGGAAGGGAATTGGCAGCCAACGCAGGGCCTGTTGGAGAGGGACAGTGAGCCCCTGGACCACTGGGTTTTGGATGAACTGCAGCTTCTGTGTGCTCTCTAAAGGCAGCCCTATGTGAAGTGCATTTTGAGTCATAATCCAAAAGTTTAGGAAAGACCGCAGTACGATGGTCTATAAACCGAGCACATATACTTTACCAAGATTCTGTGCAGTGAAAATGCTTCCCTTTTCTCTATGAAAGACGTATGATTAAAAAGTGTAATTTTAGTAAATGCTACCTTTTGCTCTGGCTGGAGAATGTGAAGTCCATAGGAGATATTTTAAACAAATAAGAAAAAGATACTAAGTGTAAATTGAAAGTAATATGTTTTATTGGCACCCAAAAGGAAGCAAAGGTAAAACGTAACAAGCTTACTTAGCTTATTGTTCACATGTAACCTCCAGCTCTTTCGTGGACCTGGTTAAGTATGATAAGTGAACCCAACAATAGGTTGAAGAAGTTTCAATATAGAGTAAATGGTGGCAGAGAATTGGCATATAGGAAGCATCTACTATATTATTGAATAAGTAATTAGGGAAATTAATTTTAGTAATTCATGGTGTTTTTATAAGTTTCATGCCTGTGTGGGGAACAGCACACAGTTTGTAAGGGTGTGGATGCACGATCATCTTTACAGCAGGTACTTGATTGAGTTCTTTCACTCCTTCAGGCAGCTGGAATCTGAAGGCCCTCAAGAGGCTGGTCAGAAAGATGAAGGTCTCAGTTCTTGCCAGCTGCTCTCCCACACCTACACGCTGACCTGTAGATGAGACAAGACATGCAGAAAGGGAATAATAATCTATTTTCCAGAGTATATCCCAATCAGCAAGCAAATCTGAAAAGATCTGTAAAAGCCCCA